TGTGTGTGTGTGTGTGTGTGTGTGTGTGTGTGTGTGTGTGTGTGTGTGTGTGTGTGTGTGTGTGTGTGTGTGTGTGTGTGTGCGTGCGTGCGTGCGTGCGTGCGTGCGTGCGTGCGTGCGCGCGCGCGCATATATACTTCTTCAATAAACATTTGCCACTTTTTCAAAGCGTTACTTTTGATCATTGATAAATAATTGATATCTCAAGGATTATCAAGACCTACAATTTTATTATTACATTTTTTGACAAAAATAAAGATGCGTGGAATGTCTCTAACATTTCTCATTTTCGCCTCCTAGAAGTTTCGTTACATTTCGCTCCCCTGTATTTAACTTATCCGATTTTTATTTACGCCAGGGATTACTAGTTAATTTCGTCACTAATAAAAGCTCCTAAATAATCTAGATAAAGAGTACGTTTATTAAATGTTTGACGATAAAATCAGTATTTTCAAAATTTTATTTAACGCGTAAAAACTTCCTCTACACAACTTGTATTTTTTACGATTGTTTACAACGTCAATAATGTTTCGAATCGCGGCTTACCCATAGGATGAATGGAGGAGACATGTGCTAATTGTAAGAAAAAGCCACATACATGTGACTGACGACGATTTATAAGTATAAGGTATGACATCAAATATAGATTGGTCAACCATTGACCTCCAGTTATGATCAATTTTCTCCTTGCCATTCATACTTTATCCTTTTTGCCCTAAACTGTACTTTACAATCCATCCATATATTTATACACCTATGTTCAATATACGAACACCTAGATGCGATGTGTGATGTGGAAGTAGCTATATTTTAGTCAGAAAGCATCAATGACTTTTTGTGTCCTAATGGTATTCATAGGTAATTCTTATTTCAAGATCTTAAATAATGTCTTAAGATGCTAATATGGCTCTGATTAGTTTATAACATCTTAAAACTATACTTAAGACAATTTTAAATATAAGAAATGATTATGAATAATGATTCTGATAATAATAATAATAATAATAATAATATTACATGATATACGTATAGTAATATTATAATAGTAATTTTTTTTTTAATTGTTATTGTAGTACCCCATAAGCAAAATATTAGCGTAATGTCGATAGATTAGCAGTAGATTTGATTATAAAATATCAGCAAATTGAAACAAACATCAACTAAATGCGCATTCTGCTTATGTTCTGTCGAACAGAATCTGCTTGCAAATATTAAGATTCAAAAAAATGACGTTTCTATTTTTTATTTTTATTTTAAGAGTATAATTGTAAAAATTGTATTGATAAAAATTAATATATAGGATGTTCCATTTTATTTTTAACAGTCAAATACTTAGAAATCACAAAGTTTTAGAGAAAAATGTTTCAGACAAAAGTTGTAGGATTTTGAGGGGAACATATTTTGGTCAAGTTGCTTTTTTCTGGTAGTGGAGTTAAAAAGATATGAAGATTATCTCCACTTTTTTAAATGGAATATGATTTTTTTTTTAATAATATGATTTCTGCATATGATAACAATACATACAATTATTCTGCATACAAAAGTATTAAGTAAAGTTATAATAGTATTAAAAGTATTTTACGAGATATGTAATACTTTAGCATACATATTTTGATATAAAATATGAAAATCTCTAAATTATTGATTTCTTCATAACATTAACTTAATATTTTTATGCACTGAATAATGAGATAAACCGATTGGTGTAATGAAAACTCAAAACATATAGTCACTTTGCAAAAAAGTATGTAAAAATTATTTTTTAAAATAGCAACTGTGTTTTCTTTACACCAATCGTTCAATTCATCTCATTATTTTGTAAAAGTATTAAGGTATAATTATGAAGAAATCAATAATTTAAAAGATATTTTATATTTTATATCGAAATATAGTACGATAAAGTATTAAATATCTCGTAAAATATTGATTTTTCGATAACTTTACCTAATACTTTTATATGCAGAATAATTAGAGGAATCATGTTATTTAAAAATAATTATCATTCCATTTAAAAAAGTGGAGGTGACCTTCAAATCTTTTTAGTTCCACCATTTAGAAAAAAAGCAACATGACCAAAATACGTCCCCCTCAAAATCCTACAACTTTTGTCTAAAACATTCTTCTCTAAAAAAACCCTGAGATTTCCAAATATTTAACTGTCAAATATAAAATGAGATACCCTGTATGTTATATTGAAGCATTAGATTCTGAGAATGTTCTAAAGTCTTATAGCCCTTGTTCTCAGTACCATTTTATAAGTACTACATATTAGGAAGCTGGCACATATAATATAACGCATTAGCTTTTTTGGTGCAGAAACAATCATATTTTACGTATTAAATACATTTACAAATAATTATGACATCCGCGAGCTTCGATTACATATTAGATATTGGTTATATCACAGTTTAACTCAGACATTTATTAACAATATAAAGACAAGCTCGTCAATGTAACAATCAAATTTTAAAAAATTAGGTCAAATTAACGAGCAATTAAACGAAGGTGACAGCGTTTTATTAATATTATACAATCAATTTAAGATGGACAAATACGCGGTATATGTTTTTACTTGACTTATTCTTCTTCAACCGCATTAAAACTTAATAAATTAATGTAGAGAAACGAGAGTTACATCGGTATGGTTATCGGCAAAACAATAAAAAATAGTAAGAAACAGTCAAAAGAGTACTGTAAAAGCCGATGCCATCGTAGTATTGTTCAATTTAATTATTCTGAACCGATCTTTTTGTCCAACATATAAAAAAGTCTCAACGGAGTGGAAATTCGGTTGGAAAGATTATGAAACTTGGCAAATATCCAAACGTAATATAATCTGATAATGTAAAATGTACAAGTTTCTCATATATGAACAAAGAAAATACATTCGAAGTTGTCGTTGTCGAGTACAATAGACGACTCATGTCAGACATTTATGTATAGATAAATATCTATGGTTTAACTATATATCCAGTAGCGAAAAATCATGACATAAAATCTGAGATCGCATGCGAAATCCTCAACTAAGAATGGTATTGTGTGTTTATACTAATAAAACACTGTTAAATTAAAGGCTTAACTGGCAGATTATTTTAAGACAATGTCCTAGTAGTGTACAATTCATTGGTAATACTTGTAATGCAATATACATTAGTACATAATACATTAGTTAAACATTGGTATGCATTAAGAATATGTTTAGCTAATATTACGTCTACGAATTGTGCTGCTTTATGTTCTAAAAGTTTTTGCCATAAATAATGCACATATAACTATCTTGTGTTTAGAGTTTTAAACTAATGAGCTGCTTTATTTATGATTGATGATAAATTATCCTAATAAATCCTAATAAAATCCTAATAAAGATATCCTAATAAAAGAAGACACAAGATATGAAGGTTTATTTAAGCCAAAGAGTATAAAACATTACTTTGAAATTACAAATTAGCTATTCTTCTACAGCTTCTACTAAATTTTAAAAAATATTAAACTAATTAGAAGAATATATATTAAATTAAAATGGCATATGTGATTATAATTATACAGTAAAAAAATTATAAAAACGACAAATCAAAGAAAATGGGTTCTTTAGATTTTAATCCAATTCCTATAGTTTCATTTTATTTTTAAAGAATTCTACAGAATACTGTAATAAAATGCTGAAAATTGTGCAAACGACTTCGATAAAATTTTAATTAATTGAAATGAATATTGTCAAGATATCAATTTCAGTTAGAGAAATAATGTTACAGAATAAGAATGTTGAATTTGATTCTTGTGACTATCATAATTTAAACTTAATAGAAAAGAAAACTTTTAGATACATAGGTATGCGGTTATTTTATTCACAAAAATTTTTGTGATATTTATACTGAATATGCTAAGTCTGCTAAGAATTATAATAAATCAAAGCTAATAATTAATATTTATTATTTCCACAGAACTTATAATTTTACAGAAGAAAATTTATTCGGTAATTTATTAATGCCAAATGATAACTCTTTGTGCATAAAAGTATTGGAAAAATTATTTTTTAATAATATATATAATTTTATCACAAATTTGTAATCACAAAGTTATTAAAAATATTTTCAAAGGTATTGTTTAATTATCCCTGAAAACAGTTTCCAAAACAATATTAAAGTTGTATAGCAGAGTACATTTATTTTATATCTTTGCTAATCGACGCTTCAAATTTCAATTCAGTCAGAAAAATCATCATTTTATAAAATCTGTATTTTTCTTTAAGTATTACTTACAATATTTTATTGTTATAATTTTTAAATCTATCACTGATTTTTGATGTCATGTATTGTGGTATTACATCTATGTTTGCATTTTAATATTAATTATAAAGTAACTGTGTTATTGAAAATATATGTATGTACATATATTACATTATGTATAACTTTAAGTTTGTATAAGCTGTAACTAGTTTTAACAATTATTTCATGTAATATATAACTTTGAATTTATTTTTACAAAATTTTTAATTACTTTCATTTTAAGCAATTTTATTTATTGTTTTCATAACAAATTCTATATTTTTGCAATTTACAATTGAATATCTTTAAAACTACTATCAATGTATAAATGTTATTTAAAAAAAGTTAGTAAAACAAAAAATTGGAAGATAAGTAATATTCAAGAAAATTATAGATTTAATAAAATCACGGTTTTTCTGTGACTGAATTGAAATTTGAAACATCAATAAACAAACTTTTAAGATATAAAATAAACATTCTGTATACAACTTTAATAAATATTTAAGGTTATGAATAAGAAGTTTTAAGTTTTGCAGTTGACAATTATGTTAATTTTTTAATGTAAATCGACCAATTAAGTTGATTGGAGAGGGTGAGACTGGCCCTAAAGGTACCTTTTCATGCTGATGCTCAACGCTCATTTTTAGCGTCAAAACAGATCACATGGGTAAAATTAATGAATACGAACGTCAATTTTGATCACGCTAAAAATGGGCGTCAAGTATCAGCATGAAAAGGTATCTTAAGAAGTATAATTGTTTCTCTGTGATATTGATTGAATCTCTCTCGCTTAGCTTTCTCACTTTGCACTGCAAAATCAGCGTAGAGATCGTGTATTTTCAAACATCAGATTACATGATTTAATAATTACAAAATTATTGCAAAATTGAAAAGTGAAAATTATAAAGTAGAAACTAGAAACCGGAGAAGTGAATTTTCTTATTGGCTATCAGATTATCATACGTCGGATGTCGGAAGTAATGTACCATCTTGCATAATGCCAGTTCTATAGTATAGTAAGTTGTCAGAAATTGACTAATCATAGTCGAATGTAAGGAAAATAATCGACTATGAACAATTTCTTACGGCTTACACTTGTAGGACCTATCTAAAACCTTTTGTGTTTACGAAATCGGTCCAAGTCCTCGGACCAAAAACTGTATAACCAATAAAATTGCTGCTTTTCCGTAACGCTGCAAGTTGATTGGCTCGATTCAAGAACTTTGATCGATTTCTAGTATCGTGGACGCAAAGCTTTAATGTCCACATTACTAAAAATTGAGATTAAGACTGGATTGGAATTAAAGTAAGTTTACTAAACTTGAAACTGATTTTCTTTCTTCTGGTTGGTTAAATTCCAATCTAATCTCAATCTCAATGTTTAATCTGGCGCGAGTATAAAGGCTGTTCTACAATAATATGAACATAAGTGTAGAGTTAGATAGCAATAGTAGTGTTAAGAATCTACTATAGATTAATCTGTTGTATATAACAGAGTGAGAAGATACATCGTAACTGATTAAAATACGGTAATCAGCTTGAACTTTCGTCTTCTGAGCATTGCGGAGCAGTACTCTTATATTGTTTAATATTGATTTGCTTACTGCTTTTCTACGTGCCACTAGCCTAGCTCTCGTGAATAATCTGTTTCCAATCGCTGATCTTGCCGATGACACTTGCGTCGATGACGATTGGTGCACACAATATTATAATTGAAAAGTCTACAGTACACTTTCTTACTGTTTGTATTTGCACTTCCTTACCCCTTTTAAATATATTTCAATATTTTCACGTGAAGAAAAATCAAATAGTATAAAATTATTTCAAGAAGTGAAACTATAACGAGTGTAACACTGTATGATGATTGGTTTTCAATCGTTGCTGCCATTTCTGCTGCTGCTAACGCCGCCGCCGCCGCCGCCGTCGTCGCCGAAAACGGGTTGGAAACAGATCTACTTATTCTGCGCGCGCGCTTGGTCGCTCACTCGCTCACTCACTCATTTATTCATTCAACTTGCTCACTCGAAGAAGGCGCCCTCGCTATTAACACTGCCAAAAACATCAGCCCTAACGCCTGAAGCGAGCGACTGAAGCGAGTGAGCGCCGCGCTGTGGCGTGCCGTATCTGTGCGAGCGCCCCTTCCTCCTCTGCGTTGGTGCTTGCGGTTCGGTTCGGTGTGTGTCGATTTTCTCGGTTCCATTTCGTTTTCGTGGCCTGTTCTCGCTATTTAGATCTCACATTTGTGTCCCGCTGTCGCGTCGCGCCTTCTGCCTGAAATCGAAAATTGAGGAGAGGTCGGAGTCCGGATTCCGCGTCGGCTAGCCAGTGGACGCGCTTATTGGCACTGCGCAGGTTAAGCCGGCGCATTTCAAGGTAACCTAAAAAGTCGTGTGAAGCGGCGGCGGCGGCGGTGGCGGCGGCGGCGGTAACGGCAACGGCGGCGGCGGTGGCGACCGACTCGAGCACGCCGCTTGAGCAAACGACGCTTTCTTTGCATCTTCGTGTTTGAGACACGTTTCGAATTCATTTGCCAATAGATTACGTTCGTGTTTGATCAAACAGATAGAACATCGGCGAGATCACGGATATGTGAAGTAACGTCTTGTCTCGTTTTAACGGACGCTATGGCCGAGTCTAATCTAGCTATTTCCACGCGAGTGACATCGTCAATGTTTGTCTGTGGGATAGCATCCATCTGCTTTTATCTGTAGTCTTCTTTCTGGAAAAATTGATAATTACAAATGTGATGGAGTACTAGGTTGCTTTAAACTGCTGATACATTTGCAAATGAGTCACTTGACATTGTGTATAAAGTATTATTTATTTAAATTGAAATCTGGAGGCTTATATTACAGTCCTCGGAAATTGGTGAAAATTAAAAAAGTGAATAATTTATTCACTAGCCGGTGGCTAATGAAATTACAGCTATTCTAGCAAATCCACTCACTTTTGTAATTTTCATCAATCTCCAAAAACCATGATAAACACCCTGTACTTGTGTGACTGTACAACTGCCAAATAATATTTATAATAAAATTAGTACAGATATATCAAAAGGGATGTTATAGAGATATTTTTGATGCATATTTTTTATTGAGTTAAATATTACATTGTAATGATTTGCAAGAAAGTAGCTATAATTAATTAAAAAATAAACTATTATTTACATAAAAAGCTAGTGGCTACTAAATGTAATATAATTTCGTAATTACATACAGATAAATATATGTATGATTGAAAGTAAAATATGAAGATTATAAGTAATTATGAAACTATTAATATAATTAAAAAAAGATGAAGAAATGATTGAAAATATTTTGTTAAATGCTAATTTGCTTGACAATAATTCAATAGGAACAAATGAGTTATTTATTTGACCTTAATAACTTTAAAACTATTTATAATTATGCTCGTGAATTATAAGAAGTACAATCAACTTATAACTTTATAAATATATTTTTGTGATATGTAATTCTGATGAAAAAAAAATATTTTGTTTAGCATACGTGTTTTATGTTTCTTTGGTTAATGTAATTTTTTTCTTGGAAATTTTAGGAGACGGTGTCTACTGAGCCGTGATGCATTGGAGATTCGGCGATTTTTGCCCGATGACCAACCGGAAGTTAGTGTTGCAAAAGCAGTTCGTGTGACAAAGCCTAAAAAACAACGAGAGTGCTAAAACATTATTGGACTAGAAGAGACATCTCCACTGCGAGTGTCTTATCAAGATAGAGTCTGTCGTCTTCTACTATTGTCACAACAAAAGGAGGAGGAAAGCGGTTGTAATTTTTCCTTGTAGTGACACTGAGAGCGCACAGTGAAAACAATAAAAATAGGGGGGGCGGTCTGCTGACCGATGGACAAACGGAAGATGATGCCCAAACGCCCTCGTATGGAGAATTTGAGGGGTCCAATCGCCAACGGACCGATCCAAACGCGACCACTGGTTGCACTTCTTGATGGTCGTGACTGTTCTATTGAAATGCCCATTCTCAAAGACGTTGCAACTGTTGCCTTCTGCGATGCACAGTCCACTTCAGAAATACATGAAAAGGTTATTAAAATACAAAAGGAAAATAATTAGAAAAGTTTATAAAAAGTAATAGAGAATATATAAGTTTGAACACTTTCGAAATTTATTGTTGTACTGGAAAACGTTTTACAGTAGTATTAACAATTTAACATTTTTATAGATTATCTGAAACTGTTTTATATTATATATAATAGAGAATCAAGAGAATAGAATATGGAATATTGAAATATTAAAATTAAAATATCTCTATTAGAATTCTAAAATATTAAGAAAAAACATAGAAATATTTGCTATAATAAATTTTAAGTTTACTAAAATTTTATTTCTAACATATATAAGACATTCTTGTAGAATAATTTAAATTGTAATAAATTCTAAATATTTTATATTTTATTCTGATATTCCTAATTTGTATACTTTATCTTCGATAAAATGTTAAAATTCATAATTTATGCATATATTTGACTAATGTAAAAAGTAATGATTTAATAAGCAATTCTGGTCAAATATATTCTTGTTCAAGTAAATATATTTCTATGTATAAAATTCCTCAATGTTACATTTTGAAATGTTTTAATCTTTTTTTTAAATCTTTGTCAAATTAACAAGTAAAATAATTATGTGTATAACTTTAAATTTAATTGAAAAATTCAATGACTTGTTCTTACAACAGTGGATTTGCTTCATATTCTCTCTTCCCTTTCTTTGTTATGATTACTTTTTTAAATACCTAATTTATAAGTTGTTTTAGTTTTAAAAAGATTTATATAAATTAATTTATATTTATTTTAAATTAAGCTTTTTTGTTTAGCATTTTAAGTTTATTATATTTATTCTTGTTTGGTTATATTTATTTGGTTATATATAAAATATATATTTAATAGTTTTAATATATTTAATATTATATTTGTAGTGTAAATGTTATTTAGCATCCAATATTTTATATAGTATTGTTATTTTTCTTAGAATAATGTATATTTATCTATATATGCATAGATTTAGTATTTTATATTTAATATTTTATTATGCAATTATTAAATATTGACTATTAAATAAGTAATGTTTTTGTTAATAAATATTGCGATATGTTTATAGGTATTAAATGAAGCAGTGGGTGCATTAATGTGGCACACGATAATTTTGACGAAGGAGGATTTGGAAAAGTTTAAAACGCTTCGAATCATTGTTCGAATTGGTTCCGGTGTGGACAACATTGACGTTAAAGCAGCTGGCGAACTTGGCATTGCAGTATGTAATGTGCCTGGCTATGGGGTCGAAGAAGTGGCTGACACTACTCTTTGCCTCATCTTAAATCTTTATCGGCGTACTTATTGGCTTGCCAATATGGTACGTGAAGGCAAGAAGTTCACAGGGCCAGAACAGGTAAATTTTTGTTTTTAAAAATATCTTATTATATATTAAAAATTATATTAACAAATTTAATATACAGAGTAGTTTTTTTATAATGAAAAATATAAATATTTCGAAAAATATAGAAGATACGCAAAGTTTCAGATGAAAGTTATACGATTTGGAGGGAGACAAATATTGATCAAATTAATTTTTTAAAAAATCTTTCAAAATTATATGAAGCAAAATCATTGCTTATTTTGAATAAAATTATATAATTTTTTTTACGTAATAAAATTCCTCTAATTATTCTGTACATAAAAGTATTTAGGTAAAGTTATTTAAAAAAATCAATACTTATAGATATATTTCATACATTATCTTCCCATATTTTGACATGAAATATCGGATATCTTGCAAACTATTAATTTTTTGATAATTATATCCTTATGCCCAGATACAATTATACCCAGATTAATAAGATCGAATAAGAAGAATCGATTGGTGTAAAGAAAACAGTTGCTTTTTTAAAAAGATGCTATTTTTAAATGTTTATTTTTTTTTGCAAAGCAACTGTTTTTTTTTTATTGATTTATCTCATTATTCTGTGCATAAAAATATTAAGGTATAATTAAGAAATCAATAGTTTGAGATACTTTATGTCGAAATATAGCATAATAATGTATAAAATATTGTAAAGTATTGACTTTCGATAAATTTATCTTAATAGTTTTGTATGTAGAATAATTAGAGAAACTATATTATGTAAAAAAAATTATATAATTCTATTTAAAAAGAAGCAATGATCTTCACATAACTTTGAAAAATTGATTTTTTTCCTCAAACTAATTTTATCAATATTTGTCCCCCTTCAGACCGTATAACTTTTGCCTGAAATAATCTTCCGTATTTTTCGAAATATTTATATTTTTTATTATAAATGAACTATTGGGATTATATTGTAGATATGACATTAATTATGTAATAATTTTATTGAAGTTGTGTTATTGTGTAATCATATTATATTATAATACATACACACGCGAGCGTGTAAACGCGTAACGACTTGTAAAAATATTTGCTTTGTATAAAAGTCTTAAGTATACCTTGTACGTACAACAGTTTTGATAGAATTTTGATTTGGACTAAAGATTACATGAAAGAATAGTACTATGCTTTTAGAAATAAGCTAGAAGCTTTTACTGTAAAAAATTACTTGTTTAGCTTTGTTACGATGTGTGCGTGCAATCTTGATATAATAATAAACACATCACTACACACTACTATATCAATCGCATACATATGCATAAATCGTCGATAAAGTAGCGTTTAAAACAGTTTTGGAGTTTGATCACCACTTTAGCATCCCCTTAAATACTATTAAGTATACTGCTATCATTTTTTTAGATCTCTCATATTGTTGGAAATATTTTAATATTGCTTGAAATAGCTTGGTAATTTTCTATATGATATAAATTTTTTTGCGTACTTTGTTTGGCACGTGTGTTTTTAGGTGAGAGAAGCAGCGACTGGTTGCGCAAGGATACGGGGCGACACACTTGGTATTGTTGGCCTTGGTAGGATTGGTTCTGCAGTTGCGCTGCGTGCCAAAGCTTTTGGCTTTACTGTCATCTTCTATGATCCTTATCTGCCGGATGGTATCGAGAAATCACTAGGTCTTACCAGGGTTTACACATTACAGGTAGCTGCACTTTGTTTAACAAATGAAACCATAAATCAATTCTAGATATTCTGATAGTTAATTGAAAATATATAAATTTTCTTACATGATGTGAACATTTATTAAAAGATTTGTATGCATTATGTACATTCTTGTTTTGTATTTATGTCTATAATGTCTATTATTGAGAAAATCTATATAAATCATTAAGGGAATGCTGACGCGACTGACTGAACTTACATCAGGGTGGTAAAAGAGAATTTTAAACTAAAAATATCGATAATAGTGATATATTTATTTTATTTTCTTACAATATCAAGAATTCTATCTCATGCAAACACATACATCTGTTATCTAAGATATTGCTATGCCATCTTTTGCCAAATCTGGCACTTGCTGCTAGACGCAATTGATGCTCTGTTTACTATTCTTTAACCCATAGCACATAGAAAAACGTAAAGCAATAAGACGTAAGCAGTATCTAAGTGAATTAACTAATAACAGAGAACGTAATATTGCCTTACGTTTTCTTCTGTGATTGGCTGATTTGTTTACTGCTTATGTCTTACTGCTTTACATTTTTCTATGTGCCATGGGCTTTTATCTCCGTTAAACATACATATACACGTAAGTTGCAGTTGAGAGAATATCTTTTTCTACGATTTCAATCGTAGTTCAAAAAGTTTAATATTATTCGTTTATATAATCCAATCTGCAGTCTCAGTTTGTACATACATATGAGCTAATTTTTTTCGTTTTTACTATAAATTCGACTATAACGCACATCTACATTTTATTTACTTCAATTTCTGTAAAAAGGTCTTCAATTCCATTCAGTAAATTCAGAGATATTCACACAACTGCAATGTGTCGGTAATTACTTCAGTCCAGCACCCTTAAGTTTATTTAGAAATACAAATTGTTAAAAATTTTGCAAATGTTATGACAAATTATAAATTTTTTATTTCCGAATAAAACATAAATTCCTTGAATATTTGTACAATAATTAGTAATTATTTAATTGATTTGGATATTATCCAGAAATTAATTTCAGATACATATGTAAATATAATATATTTTTAATTGTAATATTTTTAATTAAATTATAAATTTTATTATGATGTATTTTTTAAGTAGTATTCATTTTTGAAATTATAAAGAAAAATTTATTTGAACATATCTTAAAGATTTGTTTCAGAGATTCAGAATATTAAAAATTCTATAAAATTATCGTTTTTTCTTAATCGAAAAAAGTTTAAACATGTAAGTAATAAAAAAAATCTTTAGTAAGAGTGTACATCCACGGTAATCGATTCTATTCCTCGGAAATTTTCACAAACTCAGAAGTGATCACTTTTTTACATTAATGCTCATAGTCCATGCACGATTTTATTTCGTTAATTGTGCATGGACCATGAGCATTAATGTAGAAAACTGGTAGTCACTTCCGAGTTTGTGAAAATTTCCGAGAGACAGAATTGATTACCGTGGGTGTACATAACGAAATAATAAAAATCTATAGAATTTAATTGTACATATCATATTGGCGTATAAGTTAATAATATATTATCTAAACCACCCGTTTCTGTGCAGATATTGATATTTATAAAACAACATAAGTAAAAACGGAAAGTAATAACCTTGCTTCTTTATTAGTCGAGTTGGAAAACATACTTTTTTTTGTTTAGGAGCTATTTTAAAAAGGCAATTTTTTGCAATTTAATATTCTACGACCGATATGTTTGTATATTTAAAACAGTCTTGAGTATATGTCATAAGCTAATCACAATGCCATATTAACATCTTAAGGCATTACTTAAGACAGTTTTAAATAAGAACGGACTATGAATATTGGCCTATATCTTTGAAACAATATCTTTGAAATCATATATTTATATAAACTTTAAAAAAATTAAAATATATATCCTATAATATTGAATATTATGAAGTACTTATAAAGTAATTTGTATACAGTATTATAAGAATTTATAGAAATTATAATTGTATACATATATATTTCTTAATGACTATTTTTTAACCAATATTTTTATTATGTTTTAGGATTTGCTGTTCCAATCAGATTGTGTTTCTCTGCATTGTACCTTGAATGAACACAATCATCATTTAATAAATGAATATACTATTAAACAGGTATAGTAAAAATTGGAAAGGATATTTATAAAAATTTGATTTAATATGTGTATAGTATAAATGTTATTGATATAAGTTTAATTATAATAATTTAATTATTTTATAAAAAGAATTTTGATTAGAAATAAAATCTGAATCGTTTTTTTAGATGATTATCTTTTATTTATTTGTTTTTTATTATTGAAATATGTTGATACATCTATAGAAATATATTTGAATTTCCTGATACTGTAATTCTGTTAAACTATTACGACAATGATATAAACAAATATAAACAAAATTTTGAAAAATAAATTTTCTATTACAATACATTTTGTATATTAAATGTTAAATTTACTTTATTTAAATTAATAAAAATATTAATATATAATTATAATTTTTTGATATTGCAATTTTAATAATACATGGTAACATACGAGTACTAATGTAATTTGTAATTATATTACAAAAAAATTGCACTGTGTTTTAGATGAGACCAGGAGCATTTTTAGTCAATACAGCACGAGGCGGTTTGGTGGATGACGACGCGCTGGCCGCGGCGCTCAAACAGGGTAGAATTCGCGCGGCAGCGCTAGACGTCCATGAAAATGAGCCATACAACGTCTTTCAGGGTCAGTCTGCGAATCAGTGTGAGTCTTATCTGTCCCCGCGCCTAACCCTGTCTGACTATCTTTAATCCTTCTAAATTCCTTCCATTACAAAAAAAAACTACAACTTTTTTCAAATAGAGAAGCACAAGACGAAGATATATATTTTACAGTGAAATCATTTTATAAAATTTCTATTCTGTTTAAGTATGTCATACAATTTGGAATAGTTTCTAGCATTTGTTCTATTTAAGAAAGAAATATGTACTAGCAAAACATTCTATGTATAAAAATATTACGGTAAAATGTTTAAAAAATAAATATTCACGACGTATTTTATATTTTATTTTAGCATATTTAATAATACGCTAGAATACGAAATATAAAATACTAAATATTAATTTTTTAAAACTGTACTTTAATACTAATGCTTCCTATGCACAGAATGAAATAAATTAATTGTTGCAAAAAAAAACAATTATTTTTTAATACATTTTGAACAATTCAAGAAACTTGTGATATTTACAATATTATATATTTACAATTTTATATATACTTTTTTTTAAAAAGTAATGATATTTTTTTGTATTAGTTCATCACTTACTTTTTATATAAATATATTAAGATAGAAAATCTATATCAAAATATATCAAAAAAATAAACAATTTACGATATTTTATATCAAAAAAGATTAAAGATAGACAGGATTAGATATAAACCTGATTATCTTTAATTTTCCTAAATTCCTTCCATAACAAAACAAAACAAAAGAACTACAGCTTTTTTCAAATAGAGAAGATATGTAGGAAAGATATATATTTTACAGAAAATCATTTTATAAAATTTCTATTCTATGTAATGTACAGATACGTCATGCAATTGAGAACTGTTTCTAGCCCTTGTTCTATTTAAGAAAAATACTAATAAAACTTGAAAAATGTCATATCTATTGGTCTATTGACTCATTTTTTTGTCATAAGGGTAACGATGCACTAAAAAAGTGCAATTACATTTTTTTATATAGATTTTGAATATTCTATGTAAAAAAGTACTAAAACAAGATGCTCGAAAAATAAATATTTACGAAATATTTTATACTTTATTTTAACTGTTTTGATATAAAATTTAAAATTATTTATACTTTATTTTAATTGTTTTGATATAAAATATATAAATAATATATCATAAACTGTTCATTTTCTGATAATTCTATCTTAATATATACAAGGTAATGAGAATGAATTAATTGACGCACGAAACACTATTACTTTTTTCAAAAAAGTATGTATAAATTTGCGTATTGTAAATTTTATAATTTTTTTGAAAAATTTCTTGAACTATTTAAAATGTATTAAAAAATAAATGTGTTTTCTTTGTACGAATTATCACATTCTGTGCATAGAAACATAAAAGTTGAGCTATTAAAAAATTAATATAGTACGAGATATTTTATATTTCGTAGTCTAACGTATTATCAAATATGCTAGAATAAAATATAAAATATGTCATGGATATTTATTTTTTGAACATTTTATCCTAATTTTTATATACATAGAACATTCAGAAAAATTTATTTGTGCAAGAAAAATGTGATTCTATTAAAGAAAGAAGTATAATTATATTTTTCGATGTATCGTTATACTGAAAAAAATTTAAGAAAAATAGACATTATATCATTCAATTTTTATGCATGAACCATCTTTTTTTTATCTTCAACAGAACAGGTGCTCTAAAAACTTAATTGCTCGATGCACTTTATGAGTGATGATAATATATATACGTGGGTAAATCAATAAGTATCCGTGTTTGAAGACACGCGGCATTGCTAATGCAAGTTAGCATTACCATCGTGTGCTACCATCTTTCAAACGATGCCATACCAAATTTCAGAGTGATTCATGCGATAGTTTTGATTTGACAGCAATTCATAGTGAGCGTGTTTGGTGTTTTTCGATACAATGGAAAATGAAAAATATCGATCCGTGATTAGTTTTTTATTTTTGGATGGAAAAACCATAGACGTCATCCAACTTTGTTTTTATTTCTCCACACGTTTTTCCATCCAAAAAAATAAAAAACGAATTGGTTAATGTCACAGATCGATATTGCTCATTTTCTATTGTATCGAAAAATACCAAACACGCACACTACGAATTACTGTCAAGTCAAAACTATCGCATGAATCACTCTGAAATTTGGTATGGCGTCGTTTGAAAGATGGTAGTACACGATGGTAATGCCAACTTGTATCATCAATGTTACCTGTCTTCAAACACGGATACTTATTGATTTGCTCACGTATATACAATTTATAAGAAGTTTTAAAATATGCAATAATTAATAAAAAATTATTAAAAATTTAATTAATGGTTTTTTTGTATGCAATTTTATTCTATTTCTCATATTTTACATTAAATATTTAAAATTGCATTCTGTACTGTATTCTACAGTTAATAAGAAAAACTTGATTTTATTTAAATACACCAATTAATTAACTTTCACTGTATCACATATATTTTCTGAAGAACCATTTTACATCGTTCAATTTAGATTATATAAAATTTTCTTACTCATCAATTTTGCAATGCATATTATACAGGTCCATTGAAAGATGCACCCAATCTTTTGTGCACTCCACACGCCGCCTTCTACAGCGACGCGAGCTGCACCGAATTACGTGAGATGGCAGCGAGTGAGATACGACGGGCGATTGTCGGACGCATACCCGACTGCCTACGCAACTGCGTGAACAAGGAATACTTCCTTTCCTCTACCGGGTAAGCGCCCTCCCTCAGCCAGGCTTTGTTTGCCTATCTCCCCCTGTCTCTCGATTTGAGAATAATAATGAAGTCTCTTACAATTCGTTGAATGAAAAAAAGACGTTGACGGATATTTTTATATGTATACATACATACACACACGCACGCACACACACACACACACACACACACACACACACACACACACACACACACACACACATATATATATATATATACATACATACATACATCATACATATGAGATACACACGAATACAATACACACACGCACATACACACACACACACACACAGTTATACGGACGTAGATATTATATTTACATGATGTTCACATTCCTCTCTCTTCTTTTTTCTTTGATTGCAAATCACCGGGGGAAAAGGGATACAGTGTCTGTCACGAAATTGATCAAATTTATGCAAAAAATTGTCTATAAATATATATCATATTTTAGAAATATTTGTATCTTTCTGAGATACTGTAAGCTTGAATGTACTAAAAATGTATCATTTGTATTTTTTTCTGATAACGCGAGCTATAAAAATTTGTTTTTATACATATGCCTGCTCTCTTCTCCCTCCTTATTGTATTAAGACTCCTGGCCCTTTGCTACAACGCTATTTTGAGTTATGATGTTAGAAAATGATATTTGAATTTTTTTTCTCGCATATTATATAATGTGTTACATAACATATTATACAAATTAAAGGTGCATATTTCTGGTAAATTGAAGTAGAAAAATGTCCTATAAATATGAGTTTAGCTCGAAATTTTTATTTATTGTGCTTTGTCACCGAGATCATCGAATCTTCTTTTATCTACGGAACCAAGAAATATTTAGTATAGAAGGTTATTGCTCGAATGGGATTAATATTAATGCTATTAATAATACATGTGAAGAAACAAGCAATAATTGTGATGAAACTACTCAATCCATTTTAAATTACATCACACTGTATATTAAACAAAAGCTGTTAGTTTAAATAACTTTTATACAATTTTTATTTTTTTATTTTTCCTTAATAAAAAATGTTCCAAAATATTGTGTTATAATTTACAAATTTTAAACACTTGTAAATGATTTGAATTGGAATTTTGAATTGGATCCATGTTTGTAGGACAATTTCTACTTCAATTTATATCAAAAACATGCTGTTTTAGTTTTATACAGTATGTTATGTAACATCCTGTATATCAAAATAAATTATTTTTTTCCCTATTTTGCAATCAATATAGATAATTTTAAATCTTGAGTTTTATTATAAAGTTTATTTTCACTGAAAATATGAGATATGTTTAGACATTTTCTGATTTAATAATGATAGCCAACTAAAAATATATTTTTTTATCAATGTTTTGTTATCTATCAATTTATATTCCCAAATACAAATGGTGACAAACGAAAAAACTAACTTATAGCAATTAGTGTATCTATATGCACACGCGCGCGTGCATGCGTACGTGCGTCGCGCGCACGCATACGTCGTATGCATATCCATATAAACTTCGGTGAATAAATATGCGAAAACGTATTTATGGATTCGGTGGATGAGTATGCGTGAGTATGTGTATTCGTGAATAGATAGGTGATGCTTGTGTACAGATTAATGAATATGGATTGAATGTATGGATGTACATATGAGATGGTATGAGTCAGTATATTTTTGCAAAGGAAGAAAGTTCGTACAAATTGTCGCTTCTGACGTCATAATCTTCCTAAGTTTTAATATGTGAAATATTATTTTTTCAATGAAAATGTTAACTCAAGTAATAAATTTTGATATATATAAAATATAGATTTATGAAAAATTAGAAATCAATTTGCCTATACAGTGAAGAGTAAAAGTTCCGGAACGGCTAATTATTTTAAAAAGTATTGATTTTATGGAAAAATATTTCAAACAAAAATTGTAAGATTTAAGAAAACGTATTAGCTAGTAATATTTATTGAAGCTTTGGTTGACCTTGAAAAACGTGATTAAAGTCAACAATAAAAATCTTAAATGAAAATCCCTATTTTTGGTACATATTCTTGTAGCTGACGTCGAGAGTTTTTCAAAACAATATAATGAAGTTATTTTTCATTAAGTACTTTTTGAATTATAAGATTTGAAAGTTATAGGCTACGTTTCGTAATCACGCTTTTGGCGCTTACAACATTCACGGAATCATTTTATACTTGCTGTTTATCAAATGTTAAACAAGGATAAATCATACTGACAGCGCGTAAGCGTTAAACGGAACGCAGCTACAATACCGCTAATATTAGCGTTATCCAAAGTGTACCACATGGAGGTTATCCAGTCAAATTTACACTTCGTGTGTATGTGTGTGGCTATGTCACAGCAAAGATACGGACCCCATAGTTTGTTTCTTTTGTTTTTTTACTCCAAATGTCAGCGGTATTATTATTTTTAAGTCTTATAACTCAAAAAGTATTCAATGAAAAATAACTTCATAATGGTTTGAAAAGTCTCGATGTCAGCTACAAGAATATGTAACGAAAAATAGGGATTTAAGATTTTTATGTTGACCTTAACCGCACTTTTCAAGGCTCAATCAAAGCTCAAATAAATATCACCAGCTAATTTTCTTAAACCCTACAATTTTTGTTTAAAACATTTTTCAAAATCAATGTTTTCTGAAATAATTAGCCGTTCCAAAACTTTTCCCGTTACTACACACATACACACACACACACACGCACGCACACACACACACACACACACACACACACACACACACACACACACACACACACACACACACACACAGGATGTCCGAAAAGTGTGGCAACCTTTTAATATTTTGGAAACTAAGCATTTTTAAGAAAAATGTTTTAGACAAAAATTGTAAGGCTTAAAAGAATCTATTTAATGATTTCATCAGTTTGACCTTGGGTGGCGTCGCCAAAGTCAGGTCATCTTTTTTTTTTTTTTTATGGGACACCTTATTTTTGGTTCCAAAATCTAATAGTTGGTCTCAAGAACTTTCCAAAGTACTATAATAAAGTACTTTTTGGTTAAGTAAATCTCGAGTTATGAAGCTTAAAAGTTTACAGTACCGTCGACATTAGTATTATCCAAGCTGTCCAAACAATGGCTAAAACTTTTTGAATGCTGTTCAGGATCGTGACCTTGACAACATATGTAAAGATCAAGGCCATTAAAGGTTGCTCTTATTTTCATTTTTGAAAATTATTTTTACTTTTTGAAAAAAAAGAGGAACAACTTCCAATGGTCATGACCTTGACATATGTTGTCAAACTCCTGAACAACATTCAAAAGGTTTTAACCATTATTCGGATACTTTGGATAATGCTAATGCCGGCGGTATTGTAACTTTCAACCTTCATAAGAGATTTATTTAACCAAAAAATACTTTATTAAGTCTTGTGTCCACAATACTTGAGACTTGGACTAATAATATCGTGGACACGAGGTTTTATAGAGTTTTGGAAAGCTCTTGATACCAGCTATTAGATTCTGGAGTCAAAAATAGATTGTTCCTTTTAAAAAATTTAATGTGGCCTTTATCTGACCTTGGTGACACCATCCAAGGTTAAACTAATAAAATCATTAAATAGATTCTTTCACGACTTTTGCCTAAACATTTTTCTCAAAAACGCTTAGTTTCCGAAATATTAACGAGTTGCAACACTTCGGATACCCTGTATATTACCTTACTCATAAATATATATATATATGTATATATATATATATATATATATATATATAATGAGTGTCCCATTTTATATTTGACAGTCAAATATTTGGAAATCGCGAGGTTTGAGAGAAAAATGTTTCAGACAAAAGTTGGAGGATTTCGAGAGGGACATAAGATGATAGCATTGGTTTGACCCTGAGTGGCGTCGTCAAAGTCAGGACAAGGTCACTTTGAATTTTTTTAATGGAACCACCCATTTTTCGTTGCATATTGTAGCTTATTTCGAAAGCTTTCCAAAACACATAGATAAATTTTTCTTGGTTAAGTAAATCTCGAGCTATAAAGCTTGAAAGTTACAATACCACCGGCATTAGCATTATCTAAGGTGTCCGAACAATGGCTGAAACCTTTTGAATGTTGTTCAGAATCATGACCTAGACAACACATGTCAAGATCAAGACCAAGGGTCTTAAAGGTTATTGCTTTTATTTTCATTTTTGAAAATTATTCTTATTTTTTGAAAAAAGAGAAACATTCTCCAATAATCATGACTTTGACACGTTATCAAGCTCATAAAGCTTCTGAACAACATTCAAAAGGTTTCAGCCATTGTGCGGACACCTTAGATAATGCTAATGCCGGTGATACTGTAAATTTCAAGCTTTATAACTCGAGATTTACCAAAAAACATTTTATTTGTGTTTTGGAAAGCTCTCAAAATAAACTACAAGATTGCGCAATGAAAAATAGGGGGTTCCATTTAAAAAATTTAAAGTGACCTTGTTCTGACCTTGACGACGCCATTCAGAGTCAAACCAATGTTATCATCTTATGTCTCCTTCGAAGTCCCAAAACTTTTGTCTGAAACATTTTTCTCTTAAACATGATTTCCAAATATTTGACTGTCAAATATAAATGGGACACACTATATATATACATATATACATATATAACAATTTTGGAAAAGAAATAAAATAAATTTAACAATTAAAATTTTAAATATTAGTTTATTTGAAAATTTAATTAAACACAATGACTTTGACAATTGACTTTGGTTTTTGTATTTGTTATATTTATAAAAAATAATGATTTAAATAAATTTAAATTTGCATTAAAGAAAATTACTATTATTTCATTAGCTACTATATTCTTAAACTATGAAATCATTGTAATATTATGAAAAACTTATAAACTTTGTTAAATGAGAAAAGGATTTAACGACAATTTAACAATAATTTTTATTTTGTTTTAACTATGTTTTCTATCTGATCAAAGTTTGTGTAAAATAGTGGCAGAAATTTAAAAAAATGATAGGAATATTATAAAATAAGCAATTTTTTTTATAAAATATAGAAAAATAAATTTGTTTTCTTATTAACAATTGTAAAAAATTAATAATAAAGGAATAAAATTTCGAAATGTTCAGGAGGATCCGAGGTGGCGCTAGTAATAAAAAGGAACCAGGAGTCTTAAATAAAATTATAAAAATAATGGAAATCATTCTTAAAATACCATTGGATCAATTTCGTGATGAGTAACACTGTATCTCTGGTAATTTTTGCAGAAACGGCTTTTCGAGCAGATGTTAACTTCTCTTCTCTTCCGAGTGAAAGTCCGAAAGCGATTGTGAAAATCGAGCGTGACAAAATCTATTGATGCGTGTGTGTATAGAGTGTAAAGACTAAGCGCTTAGACGAGACTTACATAGAAAACGAACGAAAGAAAGAGAGACAAAGAAAAAGATTCCGTTCTTGAGAATCTTGATGACCTGTGTGTGTGTTTTCACGTTCCTGTTTCTTGTTGGCGAGGAACGATTGCTACTCTACCTAGAGCACACCTAGAACGCCACCTAGAGCGTAACGAAATCACACACAGAGTCACAGAAAAAGAAAATTGGAAGCTACTCTACACACTACAATAAAAGCTACTCTACTACATAAGTACTGAAAAAAGTGGCGCGCGAAATTTTCGAGGTTTCGCCCATGATGTTGTTTTTCGCTTTCTCTTTTCTTCAGCAGTTATCCCGAGGGCATCAACGGCGGATACTATGCTGGGGCGCTGCCGGTACAACAGACGGCGCATTCGACGACTCCTCACGATACTGCGCCCCCACCCCCGGTTCCCGGTGCCGGCGGTGGGCACTCCGTCGTCGGCGGCGGTAGCGGTGGTGGCGGTGGCGGAGGTGGCAGCGGCGGGGCCGGCGGTGGTGGGGGCGGGGGCGGTGGGATCGGCGGACCCAACTCCTCGTCCTCGTCCGCCGTAACGGTGGCGGGGGCCGCGGGCGGCGGGGCCGGCGGCGCGGGAGGTACGGGCGGCGGGCCCGCAGGGCCGCAGGGCCCCCCTGCCGCGGTTGGCGGCGGCGGACCCCCGTCCGCCGCAGGCGTGGTGGGTGCGGCCGCCGCCGGCGGGCCTGGCGGCGGCGGTCCCGCGGCCGGGGCCCCCTCCACCGCCGGACTGCCCGGTCTACCACACAGCATAGTGAGCGAGCCCGACCCCCGGCCGAGCCCGCCCGCCCCGAGCCCCCGTTGACCTTGAATAATACAACAATCCTCTGATAACGCGAATGAACCATTTAGCTCCCTTTCCAAACCACCCCTCCCAGTTATACACTTGACTTAAACTGCTACGCGACTACATCAGCACCACTACATCAGTCCTAATTTTCTCCTCTATATATGATTTTATTCAATTACTTTATCAATCAACTGGAAGTAATTACCATTATTACTTCTGAAGATGGGAATATTAAGGATGATGGCGAAAAACGGCCGATATGATTGCCCCATAAAATCTGTCCACTCCGCTGCTTCCGAGAAATTTTAGAGGGAGTTTGTGCTTAAGAGAGAATGAAAAGAATATATGAATAAGAAGAATAAATGTGAATGGAAGAAATGCCAAATTTGATTGAATACACGTTAATTAATACATGCTCTGATGCACACTAAAGGCTTGTACACAAAATATACGATATAAAGGTATGTACACGAATAAAAAGCTTAGATACAAATAATGTAAACTTATGCATAAATTTCTATACAAATTGGCATAAAAGCATAGTTGCTTAGATATTATATATAGTGCATAATTTAGTCAGATTGGACAAGAAAAATACTCTTAGTATAAGTTGTCACATTCTTTAATTGAATAAATATTATGATATTAAAATAACTTAGTGAAATCTCTTATGTCTTATTAACAATAATTCAGTTCAATAATATTGCAATAATAATTAAACACATTTTTCTAAATAATTTCTGTTATATCCATATATTACAATTGTATTAATTCTTTTAGCTATTGCATGCAAAGAAGTTTTTTAATTGACAAACAAAATAGGAATACATTACACATAATTACGATATATTTCCTTGATTTATTTTGTTATTAATTAGCATAAAATAAAATAAACTTATTACTAAAAAAAACTTGTTTAAAAAAATAAAAATACAGATCGCCCAATATGTCTGTAAATATTTATTACATTCACAGCAAACAACAATATAAACCGGCAAGTACACCAGATATATATGCAACACAATATTTCAAGTGATTACTACACTTGAAATATTGTGTTGCACGTATATCTGGTGTACCTGCCGGTTTATATTGCTGTGCGTATTCTTATTTGGATAAAATAATTAAAAGTAAAAAATTGTGGTCTTGTCATTAAAATTGAATAAAACTTTAATATTTCTGTAATAATTAATGTTATTTTAAACAATATTTTTATCCACATTTTGGAAACTACTATTAAATAAATATCTTAATTGTGAACTTAAAGATTAATTGATTACATTACAAATTTTGTTTACTCTAAATTTATTACTTCTGGCATAATTTAAACATTAATATGTCCATTTATCAAAGCTTCATTAAAAATATAGAATATATATTGTCCATATTATGAATAAAGATTCTTATGTTATATCTTTACTTAAGTAAGTTAGTGTAAGAGGCTTTATTTTGCATCAGAAGTATTCAATCAAATTGGCGAGAAAGAAAGAGGGAGGGACAGAAAGGGAGGAGAGAGAGAGAGAGAGTGTGTGTGTTTGTGTGTGCGCGTGTGTGTGCGTGTGCGTGTGTGTGTATGAAAGAGTGAATAAAAGTGAACATGAATGAATAAAAGTAATGCGTGAAAAATAGAAATAACCCACGCGAGAGAGATAAAAAGAAAACGAAAGAGATAATGAGTAGAAAAGAAAGCAGATTAAAATTGCAGTATACTTATGCATATGCGTGACTTTGCGTTTACATTTTTATATTTGTAGAATCGCACGGGAAAAAGAGCATTTTAATGTAATTTTTGTGACCAAACCAAATACAGTTGGACAGAATATAATGATGACAATATAATGAAAACAGTCGGTCTCTCTCGCGATCTTCCGATTACAATAATTTTATATGGCATTTGTTTGATTTAGGCGCGCTCTCTTTTGCACTCTCTCCTTACAAGAAATATCTGAATCTTGTAATAAATAAATTACTCGGAAAAGATATAATTATTAATTATATAGAAAAAAGAGATGTATTAAGATTCGATAAAACGTATTAGATACAGTAATAATAACAATGTAAATGTATTAGGTTGATTACAAGAAAGAAATATATTGTTCGTTTTTTTTTCTATATAGAGCATATTAAAATAATTCTCATTTTCTTAAATGTAATTCTTAGTAAAATAATTCTGTTCTATCTAACTCAATAAACAATTCTATGTAAAATTACGTGAATAAATTAAAAAATATTTTATTTAAAAATCATTGTTTTTGAAAAAATTTAAGAATTTAAAAGAATAAATAAAATTCTCCGAAATAAAAAAGAAAAGAAATGAACGAACTTTGATCAATCTATTACATAATAATACTGTAAAAGTATATAATTGTATAAAATCACCGATGATTCAAAAGTCAATATTACTTGTATTATAAGTATAATGAAAATTTGAAATTTAAAATATACTTATTGGTGCTTAGCAATCAACTTTATCATCATTAGTACATAATTTTCAAATATACTTGTTGATAACTATTTAAATTCTCAGATCATTAATGAAAATCTTTCATTGTAATATAGATGTTGAAGACGTAATTTTGTTAAATTATCGATTAATTATGATAATACAAAAAAGATCCAATTTTTTTATATTTATAAAAAATTATAGAATTATATTCGAAATTTTATGAAATATAACGAAGATTGGCACAATATTTTCACACTTCTTAAATAAACATAATTTGCAGTTAATAAGGAAAAATGTATGGGATGATTAAGACTTAAGTAATTTTTTCTGTTTTGCTTTTTACTTTCTTTTGTCAAATAAAGAAAAGAAACGAACGAATCACGATTTTGATCAACCTAATGTATGATTAAATATGTATTGTGTGTGTGTGTGTGTGCTGTCTCTTATACACATCT